GGAAAAAATTTTTTTTTAATCCCTTTGGGGGCCCCTTTTTTTTGCCGGGGGTTGGTTTTTTTTTTAAAAAGGGGAAAGGGTTTTTTTTGAACCCATGGGTTTTTTTTTTTTTTTTTTTTTTTTTTTTTTTTTTTTTTTTTTTTAATCCGCTTTTTGATTTTTCATCTCCTGTTGTATCATTATTATTATTATTATTATTAATTTTTTTTTGTCGACGTTTCGTAACAACCAACAACCGTTATTTTAAATTAAAAATGTGGAGAAAAAAATCTGTCGCTCGATTGTTGTTGCAAAATGGTTTTTTTTTTTTTATTTCTGATTTTTTGTAAATTAATGGCGGGTCAATATTTTTCCACGACCTCACGAAACTTTTTCTTTTGTCGTTTTTTTCGAGTGTGCGTACGTGCGTTCCTGCGTGTGCGTACGTGCGTGTTTATTAAAAAAAAAAAAAAAATTGAAAAGTTGATGATGAATGGAAAAATTGATTGGAAAAAAGAAAGAATGAAAAGAAAATATGAAGTGTTTTAATTCTCTTGAGTATGTTTAAAATTAATTAGGTCACGTGACGATGGGAAATTGCTGTCGTTTTTGTGTTGCTTCCGCGGATAAAACACGAAATGAGTTTTTACGATGAATTATTTTTAGTTTTTTTTTTTTTCCAATTTTTCAGCCATTTTGAATTTTGTTTTGTGTTCGTTTTCGGCCCGCGTTTTTTTTTTTTAGGTTTTACTGTTTAGGTTGTTGTTGTTGTTGTTGTTGTTGTTGCGTTCGATGAGTTTTGTAGGCGTGTAAAAACGCCAAAGAAAAAAGTTTAAATGGTTTTATGATGTTTGTTCGCATCAATCAAAAATACTTTAAAAAAAAAAAAAAAAAAATATGGCGGCTGTCTAAGGTCGTGAACACGCACGCACACGCATCACATTCACACCGCCTTCTTTTATAAACATTATAAATAACTCATTCATTTTTTTTTTTTTTTTGGGGGGGGGGAAGGTTTTGTTTGTTTGTTTGTTTTTTAACGGTTCGAACGAAACTTTTCATCGTCATTTTTTTTTTTTTTTTTTTGTTTTATTTTAAATTCTTTCTTTTTTTTTTTTTTTTTTGTCGAAACAAAAGTAACACACGCGCGCGTGCCAATCGAAATTTCTTTTGCCACGACCTTAAATAAATACCACAAATGGCGTTTTTTTTAGTTCAATTTGCGCAAGTTTACACATTGTCCGCCATATTTTTTCTTCTTATTTTTCCTTCGCTAATTACAATTTGTAATAAATAATTTTTTTAAAGAACGATTTAAACGTCGTGATTACTGTTATTGACACGCACGTTCGAGTACGCGTGCATTTTATCAAATCAAAAAAAAAATTTAAAGTTTAGCGGCATTTCGTCGGGGCACAAGACAGGATAGGGGGAGGGGAGGGGAAGGGGGCGAGTCGGTTTTTCGTCTGAGGGAGTGTCAAGGATTTTTTTTTTTTTAGATTTCGACCCTGAATTGGAATTTATAAATATGTATATAACGAGCGAATTTTTTTTTTTTTTTTCAAACCCTTCAGCAAATTAAATTGAGTTCTTGTTGAATAATAATAATAGTAATAATAATGATAATAATAATGGTAAATGATACTACGAGTAAATTGCATTTATCGATTATTATTTAATTATCGAAATTGACCGGTTGAGTTTTGTTCGATTGTTTTGAAATTTTCCTTTTTTTGTTCCACTTAATTTTCCCCCTCTCTCTCTTTCTCTCTCTCTCTCTTTCTCTCTCTCTCTCTCTCTTTCCTTTATTTATTTATTTATTTAATTATCATTTTTTTTTCTTATTTTATTCCGCGACGTCGGTCGTTCTTCATTTTCCATTTTTTTTTTTTTTTTTTCCTCCTTTCCGGTGATGATTCGTCGTCGGTGATTTCGCAATCGAGGAAACGATAAAAAATTTTTTTTTACGGTCCAATGTCACTTTAGACTTTTTAGAAAGAGAGGGAAAGATAAAGAGTGAGTGAGTGAGAGAGAGAGAGAGAGAGAGAAAGAGAGAAAATGTTCGTTATTCGTACCTTAAAGGAAATTGATAATTTTTTTTTTTTCGTTCAAATCGTAAATTTAATTTATTAATGTTACGCGGATTATTAGTTTTTAATTATTTACAACAAAAAAAATTATTATTATTATTATTATTATTATTATTATTATTATTATTATTATTATTGTCGTGAAAAACTAGATTGAAAAATTATGACGGTGGGTGACCGGTAGCAAAAAAAAGTAATGATAATAATAATAAAATTATAAACTCGGTTAAGCGAAGTTTTTAGTACTCGCCATTGGCAATCGTTTGTTTGTTTGTTTGTTCGTTTGTTTGTTCATTTATTCATTTTATATTAGTGTCAATGGAAAACGGAAACGAGGTTGAATTTTAAATTTAATCGAATATATATATATAAATATCGATATATCGACGAATCGATAATTTTTTTTTTTTTTTTTTTTTGGTAATCGAATAAACCAAAGATGCGTTGTTGTTCTCGTTGTTGGTTTGGTCGGTTGTCGGTTTCCGCGTTTGTTTTCTCCATCTCATTCGGATTGTGACGTATCGTTTGTTGTTTGTTAATTTTGATCGTTCGATCGTTTCCGGATGCCATTTAATTTAATTTTTTGTTAATTTTAATTTTGATTCCACGTTTCGTGACTTTTTATCCGACTCTCGCCGACACAATTTTTTTTCAAATCGGGATTTTCCTCGGAAAAACAAAAAAATTTTTCTTTTTTTAATTTTTCCGAAGCGTCGTTTCATTCATTCATTCATTCTCACAATCTACTTCCTCGAAATTATTTTTATTTTTTTTTTTTTTTGTTTCGCAGGTGCTGAGCGGTCAGTTGGAAACTTTGGTCAAATCCAAAGACGATTTATACGAGCAATTGGACAAATTCAAAAAGGAAAACGACGACCTTTTATTTCAATTGGAAGAGAAAAATATCGAATTGGAGGGAACGAGAGCGAGAGTTAGAGTATTGGAAAAAATTCAACAACACCAACCGACGAGACCGACGTTCGAATCGAACGTGTCGAAACACTCGGCGGGAGAAAATTTCACGTTTTTAGAAAACGATCACCTCCGTTCGAAAGGTTTTTCCGAAAGCGAAATAAATCGTGCGAGACAAATATTTTTGGAGAGTCAAAATAAAAAAGTCGACAAGTTGGAAATAACGAAAATATTAAACCGTTCGAAAACGCTGTCGTCGTCGTCGTCGTCGACACACAACGTGAGCAACGTCAACGCGGGAGGAAGTATCGGCATCGGGAGTGGTTACGAGCTGGAGAAAAGTGGAAACATGATACCGATACTCGCGTTGCCTTTGCCCACCATGGCATCACATCAATCGAGCGGTACGGAATCCACTCAAGCTTTGGAAATAAGTTTGGAATTGGAAGCGGACAATTTGGTGGACAAAGTGGAGAAAAGCGAAAGTTTAAAAAATGAAAAATCACCCTACAAGCGACGACCGAGTAAAATCCCGCTCAACATATCGAAAACGTCGAAATGTATGAAATCGGGTTTGAGCGAGGGTTCGATTTTTTCTAAAAAATCCGACGGAGAATTGAACAAGACGAAAGAATCGAACAACGGAGGGTCGTTGAAAAAAATGTCGTTGGACAATAACAATTCATCTCACAATTCGATAAATTTTAAAAATCAAAATTTATCGATGAAATCATACAATTCCGTCGGGGGTAGACCGAGTTCGCAAATGTCGCTGTCGCAAAAAAATCACGCACCGACGACGACGGTGACGACGACGGTGACGACCATGACGACGACAAAATCGGACAAGAGAAAAAGTTTGACGTCGGCACAAAACGTTATAAAAGATGAAAATTCACTCACGACGACGACGACGTCGTCGAATAAAAGCATGAATTTAAAACAGACGACAAATTTTTTAAACGTTCGTCAGAGAGACACACTGAGTAGGAAAAATCAAAACGAAACGTGGGACAATGCAAACAATCACACCAACAACAACAGTAACAAGCGAACGCTCCGTTCGTCGTTTCGCGAAAGTGTTCGTAGTAAAATATCGATAGACGGAAACGTGAGTAATTTAAAAAGAGACGGTGGTTCGCTGTCGGGTGGTTCGGGTGGTACGAGAAGAGATTCTCTGTCGTCGCAACTCAAGCAAAATCGTACGAATTCAACGACAAATCAACAAAAGACAAACAATAATATAACGAACAAATCGATTATATCGACCGAAAGTGTTGATAATAATAACACAAAGGTACGGCCAACCAAATTAAGCTTTTTGAGTAATTGGTTAAGATTTTAGAAAAAAACCACACACACACACATATAAAAAACATACACACATCAAACCTTCATAGAAAAAACTTAAAACTAAAAACTAAAAACTAAAAAAAAAAAAATGTTATTGCGCAACTTCATCTTCCGCTTCCGCCTTCTTCTTTGTTCTTCGGATGCTTCGGATAAAAGTAAGGCTGCCAACCCTTATTATTATTATTATTATTATTTTTTTTTTTATTATTATTATTAACTGTTTTTTATTTATTTATTTATTTAATTAATTTTAAGTTTAGTTGGTGCGCGGGGGGAGGGAAAGGGGTGGGAGGAATGAGGAAGGGAGGGGGCGTGAGCGGCGGATGGATATCTTTTCTTTGCCAAGTGATGATAATAATAATAATAATAATATTGATAAGTAATCACTATAGCTGGATAATTGGGGGGGGGGGAAACTCTTTCGTTGCGACCGACTCACGACGATCCACTTTTTTGTAAATGTTACCTTTGACCTTTAACCTTTGGAGTCGTTTGTAGTTGTAGTTGTTGTCGTCGTCGTAGTTTAACAGGTACTAACCGATCGATTAATCCGACTAATATTTTTTTCGTAGATGATAACGTAACTAACTAACAGTCATGATTAATTTTTGTTTTTTTTTTCCCGCGCGAACGGTGTTGCCAAAATTACAAAAAAAAAAAAAAAAAAGGAAACGTTCGTTCTTTTGTCGGGGGGGAGGAGTTTCGTTTGTAGTTTTTTTTTGTCTTTTTCTTCTTCTTCTTCTTGTTCTTCTTGCTCTTCTTCTTCTTCTTCTTGTTCTTCTTGCTCTTCTTCTTTTTTTTGTTCTTCTTGTTCTTGTTCTTTTCCGAGCACGTGACTCTCGTGAATGCGTTGGTACCCATACCTGTTTGATATTTTTCCATTAGACAGAAAGAACATGATAACGTAGCGCCATTTCGATTTTTATTATGTCCCAAAGGTATTTTTTTTTTTTTTTTTCGGTTTTAAAATACATTATTAAGTGAATTCGGGAAATGGGGGAAGGGGAGGAGGAGGAGGAGGGGGAGGACCACCCAATCGGTTATTACATTCCGAAAACATTTTCCGTTTTGTTTGTTTGTTTGTTTGTTCTACAATTTAAATAACTCATAACATATTAAAACGGTTATTTGTTTTTTTCTCTCTCTCTCTCTCTCTCTCTGTCTTTTTTTGTTAATGGTGGTCGCGTCGTTTTTATTTGTGTACTCTTAAAAAAAAAAAAAGCGGGGGGGGGGGGAACCGGTGATAAGAGGGGAGATTTAAAAATAAATAAACGAAGGATAATAATAATAATAAAATGTTTTTTCGTAGAGGAGAGATTTATTTTTATGGATTTGTACGTTTAAATTTACATTTATTTTTACGCAAGGTGATCGCGATGAATCCGTTTCTCGAAAGCTTTAAATATCCGCTGGCAAATTTCCATCCGTTATTTAATTTGGCAATCGAGTCGAAAGAATAAAAAAAAAAAAATAAGCGAACGGGAAATTTTTATTTTTCGCGCCAAAATTTCGACGACGCGAAAAAAAAAAAAAAAAAACAAAATGGTCGAAGGGAGTTTTGTCTTAAACGTTTTTTAAATTTATAACGGAATTAATCGTTAATCGACAAACCGGAAACTGGAAAGAAAACAAAAATTGCGTTTATTTCCTTCATCGTCTTCTTCTTCCACGTCCTCCTTTTTTAATTAAATACACTTTTCGAAACGATTCCCTTTTTTTTCCTCTCTCTTCCTCTCTCTTCATCTCTCTCTCTCTCTCTTTTTTCTTTCTCTCTCTCTTCCTCTCTCTTTCTCTGTCTCTCTTTTCATTCGAGTTTGATTTCATATTTAATTTTACGAAACGGTAAACGAGAGTCGTTAATTATAATTAATCGAAAATAGTCGTCGAATTCGATTTTTTTTTTTTTTTTTTAGAAAAATAATCGATTATAGGGTGTATCGATCGATACATCGATAAATATCGATTTGTAAAAGTTTTAAATTTTATTTCTCACGATGAATTTATCGATTTCTTTAGTTTTTTCTTACTCTATGATTTTTATTTTTTTTTTTTTTTAAATGGCAAAGGAAAGATTATGCAAAAAATGTTTAATTTCTTTTTTTTTCGTAATAACGATAATTATTAAAAATCTTCTCATCATCATCATCATCATCATCATTGAGGAGGGAGGGGGGGGTTACATTATTGAATCAAATCAACAAATGAAGAAAAAAATAAATAAATAAAAGAAAACGAACGGAACCGGAAACGAATTTTAATGCGGGTTCAATTACGTACATACGTTTGGGATTAACAGAAAAAAATTAAATTAAATTAAATTAAATTCTCGGGCAAATGAAATTTCACGTTTCGCGCGTCCTCTCCCCTCCCCCTTTCTCCTCCCACTGCTACCACCACCACCACCCCTCTTCCCCCCTCCGCTACGTTATTATTATTATTATTATTATTAATTTTTTTTAGATTTTAAATCTATTAATTTAATTGCTTAAATCTACGTTTTATAGAGTTTTTAATTTTGTCGAAAATCTCACGATACTTCTATTTCCACGATTGTTTTTTTAAATAATAATAATGATGATAATGATGATGATGATATCAGGGTTATCGTATATTCGCATTTTTCACGGTTTATTATGAAAGATGGAATCGATTTCCGGTTTTTCGAAATGTTTTTTTTTTTGATTTATTTATTTTTAATTTTAATTTTAATCGATTTTTTTTTTTTTTTTTTTTAATTGGGTCGTACAATCGTTTAAACGTTATTTATTACCATTATTATTATTATTATCATTTTTTTTTTTTTTGTTTTTGTCTAATGACACGATTATTATTTTCGACCGCCTTAATGTGGCAACGCGTCGTCGTTGTTGTTGTTACCGTTACGCGTCGATGTTTTGTTTTTAAAAATTTCCCGCCATTTTTTATTTATTTTGATCGGTATTATTATTATTTTTCTATTTTTTTCCTGTCTTTCTTTTTCTCTTTCTCTCTCTCTTCCGCTTCCTCTGCTACCACTTTTAAAACGTTAAAAAAAAAAAAAAAAATTTAATGTAACTAATTTAATTTTAAAACTAACGTTTTGTAGATATGTATGTAGTTTAGTAGTTTTCTTCCTTTTTCTCTCTCTCTCTCTCTCTCTCTTTCTCTCTCTCATTTCCGGTTGGTAATTTTTGTAATAGTTTTTTTTTGTATGGGGGAAGAAGGGAGGAGGGAGCGGGAAGGAGAGAAGGGGGCATTTAGTAACAAAAAAAAAAAAAAAAAATGGTTGGGTGGAAGTGGCGACGTTCTCTGTTTTGTTTCTGCCACGACGATTCGACCTCTTCCCCGACTTTCTTCCTTCATTGAGATTTTGTACTAATGATAAATGTCGATGATTGTCGTGACCGGGATGATAAAAGGTCACCGGGAGATCTTTATCAAAATGAGTTAAAATAAAATAAAATTTATTAGCATAATAACAAAGAGAAAGTTAGTTAGTTAGTTAGTTAAACCGGTGATAAATAATACGGATGTAATGATATCTTTTTTTTTTTTTTCTTAACGTCGTTTCTTTGGTATCGTGGCAGGAGAAAGAGAGTGAGAGAGAGAGAGAGAGAGAGAGAGAAACGTTTTAACGAAAACCCACGACCGACCGATTGCCATTTTTTTTTTAAAGAAAAATTTTCATTTACGGTAATTTTCTAAAATGTTTTTTTTTTTTGAAAGAAAATATTTAAAAGAAAATCGAATAACCGGAAGTAATTATCCAAACAAACAAACAAATACTCTTTTTGGATTTTAATGTTTTATCTCTCTCTCTCTCTCACTTTCCTCTCGATTAATTTTCTTTTCTTTTTTTTTGTGACGTATCTTTCTCTAATTTTTCATCGATACTTTACCTTGTGGTTTATTATTATTATTATCATTATTATTATTATTATTATTATTATTATTATTATTAATTTTCTCGAACTTCCTGGTGGTTTTTTTTTTTTTGTGGAAGAGTATTAAAGAGGGGAAAAGGGAAAGTTTTTCATAATCTTGATTTAACTGTCGGTGGAATAACGGAAACGTTCTTATCATCTGTCTGTTGCTCCTGCTGCTGCTATTGCGGGTTGTTTGTCGACTAACAATTTTTTTTTTTTTTTTTTGGGGGGGCCTGGAAAAAGGTTTGATTGTTTATTATTGTTATTATTATTATTATCGTCGTAGCTCAACGCGACGAGTCTTTTTTACCAAAATCTTTCAAGTTTTCCCACATTCGATCCCTTCAGGAACGGATAGTTGAATTTCTGCAGAATTTTTTATGAAGGTATGATCATCATCATCATTATCATCATCATCATCATCATCATCATTATTATCATTTAGAAATTTTAAAGTTTAATTGATGTAAATGTTTTTTTTTCTTTTTTTTTTTATCACGTTCACGGTTTGAAATTTAAAAAAAAAAAAAAAAAAAAAAAATCGGACGGAAGATTTTTTTTTTAAGTCTCGCGAATACGTAACAGTTATGCAATTTGAATTGTGACGTCACGAATGACGAAATCAAAAAAAAAGAAAGATGAAGGAGAATGACGTAATCGAGTAACGCGAGAGTAACCTGACGAGGAGGAGACGGAGCTAAACCGTTCGCGGGTTCGTGTTTTTTTTTTTTGCGCGGTGACAGACGGAAATCATCACGAACGGGATGATTAAACGGTCGTTAAACCGTCGCAGGTGTGCCAACGTGAAAAATAGAAAAAATGAGAGAAACGAAAAACGGCTTCGGGCTTCGTTAAAATTAAGACGATTTTAATTTGTCTCGCGAACGTTTTGAACGTCCCCCCCCCCCGGGGGGGCCTTATAGCGTTGTCACGCTTTATGACGTCATAGCGCAATTTTTGCAATTTTTGCAATTTTGCAATTTTTTTCGGTTTTCTCCACGCGATGGATTTATAGAGCGTATAGAAAACGTTTCGTGATTGCGGGAAATCTCCTCGTTTCCTCACACGCGCACGCGCACACACACCT